TAAAACTTGGAAATGTTTACATGTGAGGCAAATAGAGATGTTGTGGAAAGGGAAAAATTAAAGGTTTTCTACTTCCCATGTACACACATGTATAATGCAAAGACACAAGGAGTTATAATTTTTCAGCAGCCCCATTAAAAATGTTTTTAAAGATGGAATTTAAAATTATACATAATTTAACCCACTGTCTCAAAAACATTATTAATTCAACTTGAACTAATTATTTTCTTGGTATAAATCCCTGAACTCCTATGCATATTTTTATTTTATACTAACAGTACATGTCAATTTGGATGAGCTACATTTTTTTTTTGGGAGGGGGGCCAGGGCTGGGTTTGAACCCACCACCTCCAGCATATGGACTGGCGCCTTACTCCTTTGAGCCACAGGCACCACCCAGGATGAGCTACATTTTTAAGTGCTGTACATATGCGTAGTGGCTGCTATTAACACAAGGCCAGCATTTATAAAGCAGAGGGTTAACACAGCGTTATTCTTTACTGCGATGGTTTTCATAGCTACTGACGTGCTAAGGTGCATCACACGTACTTATTAGCATCTGCCCAAGCAATACCACGGGACATGCTGCACTACATGACATGGTACCCTTAGGAAAAACTTCATGCCACTAGATTTTGAAGACATGCCTAACAAATGACTTTCAGCCCTGCATTTGACTACCAGCTCTACCACTTACCAGGCAGTCAACATTGCACCAAATACTAACCTATCTTAAATACGTCTCATTTAAAAAATAAAAATTGACCATCATTCCAAGGCTGCTAGGATGACTAAAAAAACCATTAGTAAAGCCTCCAGAAAAGTGCGTAGCACACAGCAGGCATTCAAAAACTGTATTATGTATGCATTTCCTCTCTATATGTATGGTATAGATGGGGCAAGAATCTGTAACATAGCGGAGGTTATGCATGTGTTTATAGTTTTGAATAAATCCTACAGTGTTAGAAGATTTTTTAAGGGACTAGATTTAGAATTGTTTCTAATGTGCACTCAGAAACCTTAAGTATAGATCAGAAGTAGAGCTCTCTCAGAGAGAGACAAAAGGGCACTTTATGCTAAGCTTCCCACTCCAGCTTCAGCCAGAAAAACTCTTGATTGGACTATAGAGAAGCTTCTTTCTGAAGAAAAAGATCTGCAGTTCAAACAACCTACTATAATCAGGAATTTAAGAATAAAATGAAATGTACACCCGAGTCTACAAAAAAAGTTCTATTTATTAGAGGTAAACTACCTTGTGAAGCAGGTTGCTAGGAGAACTGGTTATTTATAATGAAAAGGTAATTCCATGTATCTGTAAATAGGAAATCATGTTACATTACAATGGAGTCCTGCAAAGTGAGTCCTATGCAAACACAATGGATTTGCTGTGCAACAGTTCCACGAGCTACAAAACTGACCATTCGCTACTACAGGAGAATGTCTATAAGGTGACCACCCAGGGGACTGCAACAAACCAATCAACATGCAGAGATGGCCAACAAGAGGAACGAGGCCCCTGCACTCGGATGGACATGTGGAGCATGTCTGTCTATGAAAATTGGGTCGATGTAAGGAGGTGGCCAACTAGGGAGGTTCTCCTGTCTCATCTAACAAAAATCAAAGGCGGAGCTATTTGGACTTTACTTATTTTTGATTTTCAAAAGTGAGAAAAGGATCAGAGCTGGAACTCTGTGATGTTTCCACAGAAAATAATTAAAACTCAACAGTGTATAACAGAAAATTCTAGGTAATACCAAATCTTAACAGTTTATTTTGAATACTAGCTTTACACTAAAATTGTACAAATATTTTTCAATTTAGTAAAAAATAACTGCAGAATTGTGATCTAATTTAGCAAAATAAAAAAGTCTTGGTAAAATAGAGAATATACATATAGTGTTTTTGCACAGGAATAAGAAATTTTTCCAGAAACTGCAGGTAGAAGAATTTCTTTGACCCTTAAGACTCTTGAGACCCTTAAGACTAAGACCCTTAGTCTTACTCTAGGCACAGAGAGTCCCCAACTTACAAAGCAATATACATTCAGTGGAAATCCTATCTCTACAACCACCCTGTTTTTCATTTTCAGTACAGAATTCAATAAATTACATGATACAGTCAATATTTTATTATGAAATATGTTTTGTGTTATTTTTGTCCAACTATAGGCTAATTAAAGTGTTCTGAGCTTATTTAGGGTAGGCTACGACAACTGTGATGTTTGGTAGGCTGCGTTTTATTAAATGCATTTCCAACTTACAATTGTTTGAACTTACGATGGGATTATGAAGGTGTAACCGCACAGTAAATCATAAAGCACCTGTACTTTGCTTTAGGTAACGCACTAAAGGCATTCAGGAAGAAACATCATCTTCGCTTACTATAATTCACTGGCACTCTATCATCTGCTAGAATGGTCTCTGCTTAGACTGCCCTTCTATGTATTGTTTTCCTCAACACTAGTTTCTAATTTTTAATTGATCATATTTGTAATTTGAAGAAATAGCTGTTTACATGGACAGTCTATCTACTTTATAGATGGAGACCCAGGAAGAAGGGTAGTAAAATCAAAGCAGCTGGAAATAATTATACTTGGTACCCAGCAAAATCTGGTACATGGTAGGACCGTCACGGTTTAGGCCTCATGAGCTCTTGCCTGGACAACGGCAGCTGATTCCTGTGTATGCATATTTGGGTGTCTCTGGACTTGATGAGATGTGAAATTTCTTAACTTTTAAAGTAACTAAAAAAATCCAAATAAATAATAGAAATTACAACAGACACCAAGAGTTACTGGTTAAGAAAAAAATGCTTGGGGAAATAGGCCAGTGTGGTTGTGAAATAAAAACTCTTGTGCTTTAATGGTTAAAATAGGGTTTTGAAAAGCAACACAGAATTTCCCAAAGTAACTTTAAGATAAATATCCCAGGCAGCGCCTGTGGTTCAAAGGAGTAGGGCGCCAGCCCCATATGCCAGAGGTGGTGGGTTCAAACCCAGCCCTGGCCAAAAACTGCAAAAAATAAAAAATAAAAAATAAATAAATAAATATCCCATGTTATTGGTTACATTAAAATAGAAAAGTATCCTAAAGCAGATTAGAGATTTAGTTTTGTCTCATTCATTTTCTAGTAATCAATGTGAGACACTCTCAAGTTTTAATTATAAAGATGAATTATGATTATTTTGTTTTTTAGTCATTTCATTCAAAACTCATACCAATAACTGTTTCTTAAGCACTGCTTAATATTTTAAAGGCAGCCTAAAATTAAATGTTCTTTATAATGAAATAGGAAAATCCATTGAGGGCTCATCACATGCCATGCTCCCTTCTAAGTGCTTAGCATGTAATGTGAACTTATTTCATACTGACCACCACCATTAACATTAATGGTCTGATTATTTAATATCTATTTTTTCAGATAGTAAAAAGGAAGGAGAGCAAGATTACCCAGTTAATAAGAGAGCCAGGATTTGAAGCCAGAAGATGCCAGAGTTGAGTATGGGGCTTTCACCATCAAGCTCTACTTCTGCCTAACATAACACATTTTACAATGACAATGTCAACTAACACCCGTGATACTGACTGCATTATTAACTGAATTCATTTACGCAAGGCATTGTGGTCAGTATGCAAATGATGTAAAAATGCATATAACTCTTCCTCCCCTTAAGTAGCTTCAAATCTAACTAGTAAGAAAACAAATAGCTTTGATCCAAGAATTACTAGGTATTGTATAGTTTTTTTAAAATCTAAAAAGAATGATAGTTCAGAGAAACTCAGAAGGGCAGAGTGAGACTAGGTGAAAGAGGATTTACAAATTTTCAGGACATAAGGCAGCATTCTTTGAGTCTCCTGACAGAGTCAGAAGTCCCGAGTTTAAACCCTTGATCTGTTCTCAGCTCAAATTCATTAACCTCACTGAGCCTTTCTGGATTTATCTCACGGTTACTGTCAGCATTCAGTAAGAACAAATGGGGTTTTCAGTAAGAGACAAACATGATTGAGTTAGATCACACATCAGAGTCATTTCTCAGAGGGCACTGAAATAAGTGAAGAGAACTTCAGAAACCACAGAGCCTTAGGCAGTTTCAGAATGGGAACTGGGACTCTAGCTCAGCTTGGGTGACATGTCCGATGAAAACAGGCTAAGATTGGTCAGCCAGGGAAGTGAAATTGGACCGGCAGTCCTACCAGATTCATAAAGTTGCTGGAAGGGCAGACTGAAGAACAGATGCCAGAAGAATTTGAAAAAGGTATCACAAACATAAGTGCTCGTAATAAATACCAGTGCTAATAGACAGAAACGAATATTGCCCACGTTCTTGGCACTGTTCTATGGGTACCACACGTATACAGAACACTACGTGAAAGAAAGCACAGGCTATGCACAGGGCACGATTTAGATGCAGCGCAGGAGGGGGTGAGGCATAGAGAGGAGGTATCAGATGATGAAACGCCTGGAGTGGGAGGCTAAGTACTATTTCATTTTATTATTCAGTCAGAGCCAATGCAGTTTGTCAATGCACAGAAGGCAGCATGGTCACTTTTCTGTATTAAAATAACTAGCTAGCCTGGATTAGAAGAGGTAAAAAGGGGAGATGGAAAATTTAATTAATACGCCAGTTCTAGGGGTAATTCAGCAAAGATCCAGTAGTAGCAATGGAAAAGTAAACAAAAACAGGTGGCATTGCAAAAGTCCACCTGTCAGTAAATAGAGATGGATACGAGTGATAAGAAATGGCTAAAAAGTTCCCTCTAGAAGGACTAAATGGTGAAGGTACTTAATAGCAAAAACGGTAGAGCTGGGGTGAGAACTGGTTTCAAGGGAGGATGAAGATGATGATCGGCTTATACACCAATATGTGGAGCCCAGAAAACTCAAGAGTTCTAGAGTAGAAGAAATTCCAAAAACACAAGGCCAGCGGGAAGGAAGCAATGAAGGTACAACAGACTGGTCCTTAGATTCTAATGCAAAATGGGGTTAGCCGACAGGTTTGTAAAATTTTAAAAATGTAAATTTATTAGAATTTATTAGTAACACAAGTACACAGAATAAAGTTCAGAAATTCATCAATGATGGTCACCAATGTGTGCTTATTTGTAACTTTTAAAACCAGTTTTCTCATGATTCAAATTTATTCATATTATAGTTGAATTCCATACACAGCTTCACAATGTGGATAGCACAGGTCTTCCAGCAGTAAAATCAATGAAAACATATCTTTCATGGAAGGCACATAAAGAATCTAACACATTTAAGGAATTCTGATAACACTGAATTTCTTTACATTACGAAGAAGAAAATCCCCCAAATGAAACAGACATGAATATAATTTATGGTTATTCACATACACACATCCCAATACTTTAACAAATATACTTTAACAAAATGACGACACAAATTAAACTTACTACTTACCAGCAATGCTTACTGAAAGACTAGTTTTTTTCAAGATGGGGGGGGAAGAGGGGAGGTAGGGTGGGGAATGCTGTTCATGTTGTTGAAACAGGACACAGAGATACACTGAATAATCAAAAGAAAATTATTCTATCAAAGTTCAATATCTAGCTGTTATGTAACACTTATTTGAACATACGTACAATCACTGACTTTATTAAATACTATTACTCATTCTCTAAGTGGAATTGTCCATTTTATTCTCAGAAATAAAAGCATAATTTAAAAAGAAATAATAGAAACTCAAGCAAGTGGAGGAAATTTAAATATCTTGGGGAAAAAAAGTATTTCTAGTATAGTGTGATAATTAAATTTAAAATTCCTTACATATATAAATTTAAAGCTTGCATGACATCGGCAACACAGTATTCAAAGACCTTTTTTGTTATCTTCCAAACAAGGAGCTATCATGTATGCTAGGTACAAGGGACTTCCCAAAGGAAATACACAAATGAATGCTCAAAATTCATTATGCTGACATTTGTTTTGCCCACAAAAATTCTCTCAACATCCACCTAAACTTAGTTATAAATAAAAACGTGGTTATTTAAAATGTATAAAAATTAATCTGGCATCACCTTTAAGGCAATGGCATGAATACTAGCCAAATATTAAAATTCAAAGTGAAAAGAAACCAAGAGAATAAAAATTAAGTGTTTACAATAAGTCTAGAGAACATATTCTCAAAAATCTGAAATTTTAGTTTTTCAAATCAAATCTAACATGGAAGCTAAAGTAAAATCAAATTATTTTATTTTCTTAAAAGAAAAATCAAAATGCACACAATGTTTAAATAATGGATCCAAAGTCATCCTCTTTAAGAACTTTTCAGTAAAACACATTAAAGAACAAATCATGTTATTAAAATAGTCTGTGCAATGTTTATACAAATAACGTTTTTTATGAATACAAGTATACATATAATCAAGATAAGGGCTGCAATGTTTCCTAATATTAATTACTGTACTTAAAAATTTACAGGACATGAACATAAATAAATCTGTTTAAAACCGGCAAACATAGTAATCGTCTGTCATCCAGTACAAGGTACTTAATATTTATGCTATTTCCAAAGCCATCACTCTAGAATTGTCAGTTGCCACTCTTAAAACCTAAAAGGAATGTGGGAAACCAAAGCCATAAATACATGTATACATACATTTGCATATTTACACTTACGCAGAAATCAGTACACTAGAGCCCAGCTTTAACACTGTCCTTCAGTTTCACACTACAAGACCACCTTTCACATTCAAGAAAGGTCCCTCTGTTACTTTCAGTTAAAAAAAAAAAAAATACACAACAACTTTGGTCAGGTCCCAGATGCATCTGCTGTATACTACATTCTGTGTTGCTGCAAGACTCTAGTCTAGAGAGATCCAGATATAAGTACTCATTTGGCTTGAAAATGCATTTTACCATTAACTGCATAACTCAGAAGAGACCACAATCTTTTAGATTATTTTTTATGATGACATCTGTTACAGCATCAAAAACAAACTGCACGTTCTTTGTATCTGTGGCACATGTGAAGTGGGTGTATATTTCCTTTGTGTCCTTTCTTTTATTGAGGTCTTCAAACTGACACTGAATATACGCAGCTGCCTCTTCATATGTGTTTGATCCTGAGATGGGAAAAGGAAGGAAATATAATGGAAAAAGTTAAAATGGTAAGTACACCACTAAGCCAAACGGACTTTAAAACGCGGTAGTCAGGTTCATACATATCAAGTATGTGGATACCTGAACTGCATTTTCCTTTCTAAAATGGGAGAAACTATTACACCCAAGGGGAAAACATTCCATGTTAATTTCCATTTAATGACTATAAGTTAGCCCTAAACTTAAAAAAAAAAACTCCTTGCATAGCATTCCACGTTTGCCACAATTCTGTTCCTGCCTCAGACTCCAAATGCCAGATCTCCTTTTTTCTCTTATCCACACCAACGCTCAACTTCAAGTGCCTTATGGTGCCATGTTATTTCAGATCTTGCCCAGTGGTGGACCAAGAAATGCTGGCTGAACACTGATCAGTATTCTTTATTTCCTTCCCTATATATACACATTAGTTGACACTTCTCACTCATTTTTTTTTAAATTTTCTCTATACATATACATGTGTTTATTTGGTTTCCACTTTTTGCCTCCACAAAATTAAAAAGGCCTCAAATTTAATAATAACAATTTTTAAGATAAGGACTAGAAACAAAAACCTCATAAAGAACAAATGAAGATAAATACATTCAGAAAAGAAATCAGATGATTGCTGCAATGAAATATTGAGCAATAATAATAATGCAAAAAAAGTAACATTCACATTGTCAGATAAGAGTATGTCTATCATAGAATGCTTTGACTCTGAGTTTCAGTATGAAGTCATCAGTTAACTTCTTATTTTTTTCCAAAGTCTCAAAAAATAGACAACTAATATGTATAAATAACAGATAATTTCAAAAAACTGATCATGCCAAATCTTATAGACAATAGAAAAAGAAGAAATACTTCAAAATAATTCTACTTCATCTGAATACGCCTGATATAAAAATTGGAAATTCTCACTCACTTTTCTTTATTCAAAAATTATACAAAGGATCTACAAATGTAGTATATGGCTATGAGATTCCAAAAATTGAATGACACACTCCTGCTTTCAGGCTACTGACTGACTAAAGACTTCCTCTAAGCACAAATGCTACGGAAATTGGCAGTATCTCACAAAAATCATGTGTATACTGACCTCACAATTAGGTTTCTAGGTGTGCACTTGATAGAACTATATACATATTCATGAATGTTCATTTACTAAAGACACAGAAAGATTGTTAGCACTAACTTCTACTTGAAGAAATAACCTAAAAGCTAATAAATATATCCTCATATATTTGTACAAAGAGGCAACAAACAGTAGTAAGAAATGAGAATCAAAGTACGATTGGTGTCCACGATAACATAGATGAGTATCAGGAAGAATGCGTGACTATACTGCCAGATCCAAATGTTTGAAAATGCTCCAAACGAATTCATAAGGACAAAAGTCAACATACTGATTATTATGGGCTGGGGCAGGGTCCAGTGGTTGATTAGTTATGCCTGGGAAGGGCCATGATAGGGCTTGTGAGGTCCTGGAAATGCTTAATTTTTGACCTAAGTAGTGGCTGCTCACTTTTAGGAATTCAGTGAGCTTCATGATTATGCTGAGGACACGTGTGTGCGTGTGTGTGTGTGTGTGTGTACATGCCTGTACATGTATATACGGAATATTGGAATGGTGTGCACATGTATTAATGTACATAACGTATCTGATACTTGACTAAAATATTCATTTAAAAAACTGTTTACATCCTTTTTTTGCACTAATAATCCAAAATTATCTGTCAGGCTTTCAAAGTCCTCTATTCCACATCGGGGCCTCACGCCGTGTTATAAGGATCCCGCATACCCACTGCCACCTGCGGGACTGAAAGGTGTCCTTCTGTGTACTACACCGGCTGAGATCTCCATCTTCACATTTGTTCAAAACGGGCAGTCCATGCAACTTCTAATCAAATCCAGGTGGTTCTCCATGGCTTAACAATGCTTCCCCCCTGCCCCTGATATACTGCAGAAATACTCTATATTTCAGTGTTTACTGCTTTACAGAGTTTTAAATTCTTTTCAGTGTTAAGTTTTCTTAACTAGAAAGACAAACATGGCATCCCACAGCTTCCATCTTCCTTATGTACCTCACATAATCTTTGTACAATGAGACAAATGCCCCTAGGGATGCTGTATTCACAGTGCTATGGCAGCATAAATGGCACACATTATATTAGGGACAGAAAGGTGCTAAAACCGCAACTCTGAACAGGCTTACATTTTAACTCTTTAATGTCACTAGCATACTTTTTAACAATAAAATTTTATTAAATCATAGTAAGTTTGGTGCTCAAAAATTCTAAAGCCAATAAACAGTGTCTCGTTGGTCCACAGAAGCTAAAGAAACCACTAAATTAAAATACGTTTGGGGGATGTAGCTTACAGGGAGAGAGCAGCTCAATCTGCTGTATGTTCTGGTAGGTAACTAGGTCACTATACTACAGAAGCCACGAGATACACGAATAAACATTCCTTGATCTGACTGTAAGTGTTAAGAAAGAAGAATAGTGAAGTGGGGGGCAGGTGAAGGATTATGATACAGAGTCTGGTAAAATAGCAATACAATATACCTTTAAAAAAAAGGATGAGAATGATAGGAGCAGAGACGGGAGATGAATCTAGTAGTTAGGGAAGAGCTACTTCTACAGGGAGCAACAGTCACAGGAACTGAGGGGTAAGGCTGACACAAGAAGCAACCGAATCAATACTTGAGGCATAAAGTGGAGATTTTAAATTTTAATCTTAACACTGGGGATGTGAAAGAATTATGTAATATTCTTTTTGTGCAAAGATTCTGAGCTCGGGCATTCTTATTAACTTGATAACGTAAGCAAAAATTCTTGAACACACGCTATATACGGCAAGAAGAGAGCTAACAAGTGCATTCTCGGCTGCTGTGAAGTCCCTGAAGGTACACAGTAGTTATGGATTCATCTGGGGCCTGCAGTGATAACAATCAGTACAAAATCGCTATTATCATAGGGATTGATAAAAATAAGCTGAAAGGTAGATTCAAGGAAGGGGGAAAAATCAAGTCACCTTGACTCTGGGTAACTTCAATCTTGAAATTACAATTATAAATAATTTTATTCCTAATAAACACTAGAAAATGTTTCTGAATAAAGTGATTTAGGACACTGTGATTTTCAAAAAGAAAGCAGAAGTGAACAACTAATGAAACTCTGAAATCATTTCTAACATATAACTTCATAGTATATCATTCTATACTATGAAGTTATAGTTATATGTTAGTTAGTAAACCATTTCTAACTAACATATACCTTTATAGTATACAAAAAGGGCTATAAAAACAAGTAACAGGATTGCATTTATCAAAGGCCCCTCTCATTTTGGCTCCAATGGGAATTTAATTAAAATGTAACCTAGTTGTTAGTGGTCTGGGAGCAGAAGTACCATGGACTTGGGTCTGGATGTGGACTGTGTGGCTTCACCAAGCCCAGTGCTCTCCCAGGTGTTCTGCGTGTGGGGGGGGGGTGTCTAAGCACTGATATGAGAGGACTATCTCAACATTGCCTATGAAATGACGAAAAATACTCATATTCACCATACAATTGATTCAATAAAAGACTAAAGTTCTGTTTATAAGGAAAGAAGTTTAAAACAGGAAGGCTGGCTAAGCACAGTGCCTCATGTCTGCAATCCTACCACTTTGGAGGCTGAGGTGGGTAGACTGCATGAGCTCAAGAGTTCAAGACCAGCTGAGCAAGAACGAGACCCCGTTTCTAAAAAAAATAGAGAAAAACTAGTCCAGCATTGTGGCAGGCACTTGTAGTCCCAGCTAATTTGGGGACTGAGGCAAGAGGATCACTTGAGCTCAAGAGTTTGAGGTTGCTGTAAGCTATGATGTTACTTTACCCAGGGCAACCAAGTGAGACTCTGTCTCAACAAAAAAATAACACAAAACAGTGGTGGGAGGGTAACTAAACTCTGTAGACTAGCTAGATTTAGAAATCATATAGACCTGTGATAACAAAACGTTTTAAGTCATAGAGTTTTCTTTGCTCACATAAAATCTTACTCAGAAGCCCAATATGCAAAACAGATGAAAGTTGAGTTTTTTTGTTTGACTGATTGATTGATTGACTGATTTACTTATTGGAGACAAGAGTTTCAGTCTATTACCCGGGCTAGAGTGCTGCAGTGTCAGCTTAGCTCACAGCAACCTCAAACTCCTCAGCTCAAGGATTCTCCTGTCTCAGCCTCCCGAGTAGCTGGAACTACAGGTGCCTGCCACAACACCAGGCTAATTTTTCTATTTTCAGTACAGACATGGTCTCCTCTTGCTCAGGCTGTTCTTGAGTTTCTGCTTTAATGAGAAAGGAGTTGTGATATTGGGGGTGAGTAGCCAGGCCCACCTCACCACCTTGTTCCACAGCAACCCACAAGGTGCTCCAAGGAACTAAACAGAGCTAAAACCGATGTTTTAATCTAACTCCTAATTTTGCAAGTGGAGTACTGAGACCTCGGCAAATTAACTGCCTTGCTTGAGATCAAAGAACTAATTATGAAAGAGCCAGGACTCTATCTCAGGTCTACTGTTCTCACTTCGGGGCATTTTCTGCCGTAGTAAAATTAAAGTACCATTAAACAGTCTCATTACTCAAGTTTAGATTTTCTGTGAAACTTTCCCTAACTCTCTGGAAGAGCTAGCTGCCTCACTGATTTCTTTTTCATTTTTCCTCTTATGATAATGTTCCTTTTGAGCAGCATGCTGGACTGCTATTATTAAAGGCTTAAAATTGAATAATAACAATGCTGTTTGTTTTTAGTGTCTGTCTTTGACATCAGGCAGTGAGCAGACACGTCTTATTTACTGTGCATCACACAACACCTGACATACAGGATCTATTGCCTGAATGAGCAAGCCAACAGCTTAAATTTATAGAGACCTAGAGCTGTCACTGAAGAGCACTAATAGCTTTTCCTTAAAACGATTGTGTTATGTGCAGTAATCTCATCCAGATCTTAAGAATCTCCTTGTGCTCAAATGCAGTTTGATAAATAATGTCCCTTAAAGGTATAAGAAATAGTAAGCCAAGTGATTCAAGCCAACTGAAATCTTGCTTTGAGGAAAGTTTCACTTAGAAATATATAGTTAATAAGTTATTTACAAAAAGTAAAATACCTCCGTATTCTGGATAGCATATAGTAAGAGGGCTCTTTTTAATTTTTTCTTCAAAGAGATCCTTCTTGTTTAGAAACAGTATAATAGATGTATCCGTAAACCACTTGTTGTTACAGATGCTGTCAAACAACTTCATGCTTTCATGCATTCGATTCTGTAATAGAGAGAAAACGAAACCACTTTGTTAGTCACAGCAAATACTTGGAGGAAGTATTTTTTTAAATGACACGAATGGTAATTAAGTAGAGTTTAGTCTGTTGAAAAACTGATCAGATACCACAAAAATACAATTCTGCCATTTCAGAGCAAGCACACTTTGACTTTAGGCCAGACAAGTGTCTGATCATCGCTTTCCGCATTCAGCCATCACTCGCTGAGGCCCACTGTGTCGTGTGCTGTGCCCAGGAACATCCTGCTGCAGGGTGTTATAATCTAGCCACGCTGGTGTGAACACTGAAAAGGATGTCATTGCTATAGAGTTCATCAGCGTTTCCATTCAAAGGTAAGTCGAGGTTTTCAAACATTAATAAATTTAACTGAACAAGCGGACACTCAACTAGCCCCAAATTCTAAATATTAGGGAAGAAACCTCCAATTCCGTCCTGCTTCCTGCCCTTGCAGGATCTGTTTCAAAAAGGGGACTGCTTTGTTGTATGGTACTGGAATGAGGGAAAGGACTCTGGGGTCTACCACACTATGCCTGCACAGACTTGATTTCAAAAACACAAAATTGGCATTTCTACCTTCTTTTCTTTTTTCTCACTTTGTATTGGAGTTAATTTGAAAGGACAGAGTTTTTAATTTCTACTTGGAAGTTATTTCCCTCAGATAAAGGGTGCATAGAAACACAGGTGGAAATTACACGGAACAGCAAAACACAACAGGTGTCAAAGATGACAAGTCTGGCAGAGGTAGAGGGGAGCAAAAGCAGCTTTGGGCTACTACGCAATTACTTTCTTTTCATTCAGCATGTAGACACCAGATATAGAAAACACAGTTAAGCGTATAGGGTTGAGATGAGGTTGACGCTCAGTGTTTTCCTTTTCTCCAGCTCCATCTGTGCTCTTTTAGTAAACTTCCCTTTTATTATGCAAAGAGAGAAGTTACAGTTAAGACTCTGAACCTACAAATAATTCAGGCATTAGTAAAAATTTCTCAAGAATTTTTCTTAGAAGGATTCTTTGGCAACATCATCAACTCCCCAGATTTCATGCTCAACCCTTCAAAGTGGTTCCACTTGCCATTTCTTCATCTTCGGCCAGAACCAGGTCATAGTCACTCAGGGCTACGCAGAAGATGATGGCGGTCACTCCTTCGAAGCAATGAATCCACTTCTTCCGCTCAGATCTTTGACCGCCCACATCAAACATTCTGTCAGAGGAAAAATAATGAGGTGCCATCACATGCAAGGTTCAAAAGCTCTTAGGAGTTCTGTAATGCTGACCAAAACCCCCCAGATAGCTGGGGGGACTATAGGATGGGAAAAGAGGAGAGAAGGACTTTAGGGGAGAAAAACAATATTACAAATCGGATTTCTCAAAGAGGAAAAATTCTGCTGTTTTTAAAAAACTTCTGATTGACAGAAGGGAGGTTATCTCTAAAACAAAAGCATAAAAAAATCCTCAAAAAATAAAAAAAAAAAGACAAGACATTCATTAACACAGAACACTCAGTACAGTAAAGCAAACACTGGGAATAGCTAGCCTTATGCACAGACACTGAGAGGATCCAGAAAGCACCTGGAAAGGGCAGAGAGCTCCCACAGTCATGGAGCACAAGAGGCAGGGGGCATGGCTTCTCGCTTCCTATTACAAAACAGTGTTTCATATCAAAGGACTGTGATATAAAAGAGAAACCATTCTAGGTAAGAACATGCAGGGCCAGCCAACCAAATTCAGACGGTGCAAACAGGTTTGCCTACTTTAAAAAGTAAAAACCAATGTATAGAAAAAAATGAGAGAATTGAAATATGATATACATAGGTGGCCCAAGTGAATAACCTTGAAATTTAGAGTGAAAATCTTCGACTTCTGAACAATACAAATCTTTGCAGGCTAGTGAGCGAGGTACCAGCACATCAATAAATGGAAAGACAATGACGGTCTTTTCCTCTTTTCTTCTTACAAGAGTTTATAAAGTCAAACAAAAGTTTAAATTTGCTCTGACTACATTATGCAACCTAGAAATAACCACTTATATAATGAAAACACTATGTGAACTGGTACATTTTTAAAGGCTCCATTTATCTAGATGGTACACTAATTAAAATAGTCCCTATTTAATTCCCAGGCAAAAAGAATTTTCCCCATAGAGAGGTTTTGGCCTATAAACCGAATCTGAGTACATTAGCTAGTATGTTACTTTTATCACCATTTAAGCAGTCTTCATTCTTTCGGTTTAGCTAGTAAAGTGTTCATTAAATTTAAGTATGCTATATAACAAAATGATTGTACCATATGACATACCAAAATAGTTAAGATACAAGAAAGATAGCTGGTAATAAAGATTAAGTAAGAATAAAACAAGATAAATTAAAATAATCTTAATTGGGTAGTCATTTGTTAAACTCTCTAGGAATACAATTTGAAAATAAATTTACTACAAAGATAATCTTTCTTGGATATCTTCTCTGATTAAATATCATATATCTCCTATTCACCCAATATAGACATTAAATACCATCCAACTTACTACATCCCACATTTTCTCTCTGGGATGGTTAGTTGTTTTTTTATATATATTGGTCATAACAAAAAACTTTTAGTCTAAACCAGTTGTCTCAAACTTTGGTGAGATTCAGAATCACCAGTACTAGCGTTTCTGGTCTCAAGACTTTCCTTTTAGTAATTAATCGTAAGCCAAGGAGCAACATTGATTAAGAACTGATATTACATATAATCAGACTATGTTCAGCAGTTTATTAACATTTAGAAAGAGGCAGATGAAGATAATATCAAGAGTAAACACTGTTATCACTGCCTTCATTTTCCATGAAAAGGCAGATAAAAATGTATAAGCATTATTCATTGCTCCACATAGACACTAGAAATAGTGTAATTATTTTATATGCTGTTCTTTATATTCTGAACTTCTATTTTTTTTAATTTTTTTGTTATTATTTATTTATTTATTTATTTATTTTTTTTGAGACAGAGTCTCACTGTGTCGCCCTCGGTAGAGTGCCGTGGCATCACAGCCCCCAGAACCTCAAACTCTTGTGCTGAAGGGATTCTCAGCCTCCCAAGTAGCTGGGACCACACATGCCCACCAAAATACCTGGCTATTTTTTGTTGCAGTTGTCAATGTTTAGCTGGCCTGGGCCAAGTTCGGACCCGCCACCCTCAGTGTATGTGGCTGGTGCTGTAACCACTGTGCTATGAGCACTACGCCTTCAGCACTTCCATTTATTAAAAAAAAGAAGGTAAAAATATAGTAGTTTCTCCTTTATGTGAAAAGATGAGACTTTTAACTAACAACAAATAGAAACTGAATTTTGGATTTCTTAAGACATTTTTGGAGGAAAGAATAAAAAAAAAAAATGCTGAGAGGTGCCGCCAACTTATTCTTAGACCATCATCTGATTCTAAGGTGACCAAAAGTGACGAGGCAAAGCCACCTGACCATATGCATTCAGACATCAAACTCATAAATACAGTGGTCAATCCCAAAATCCATTTTGCATTTATATTGTTATAGAAAAGGAATAAAATTCTGTCTTATAATTTTATAGAATGGATCTGAAAAAACTGTATCTGACCAAAAACATTATAGTTAAATAAAACTGTTGATTCTTTACTTAAAAGAAAAATACTCCACAGAGACACTGGCCACCAGTACCTAGGACACAGACATAACACAAACTCTTACATTAAAATGTCCTACTGTCTCATTTTTAAGTGAATACCAATCACACAAAAAGACTAGGTGAAATTGAAATTTTACACAGTAGTTAAAATCAAAAAATTCCAACACACACACACACAATGACCATCACTCAAGTGTTCCTAGCAGAATTATTCTAAATGCATTTCTGCCCTCACTCATCTGAGGCTCACTTCACACAGAAAAAGCAAAGTTGGAAGCACATGTTAGCAATGATAGTAATTTAACAGAATTCACATCCAAAACAAGACAAGTTTACCTGAAGTTCCTAACCAACTTATCTTTATGTCAGCAAATGAAAACAACAACTAAATATATCCCATGAAATTCTATGTCATCCAAGGAGTCTAAATGGAGTAAGAGAAACAGACCTCCTGGAAGGATCATGATCGCAGTCAACTTCACTAAACGATGCTGAAATAACAATTTTGAAAAACCTAGGCTGAAAGTGAAAAGTATGGTCTGGAAGTAAACGTTTAAAAGTGCACCTAACCAAGATTAAAAGTGAATTTTATGTAGTCAGATTGTCTTCTGTACCAAATAAATGATTTAATATCTGCAACTGCCATTTGTCAACATTTATAGAGTTCTCACCTTTATAACATTTTTACAGGCAATAACTCCCTTCATCTTTAAGCCTCTGATAAAGGCAAGATTATAATAACTTCCCTGTTAAGAATTTTAACTACAGGGAGAAGCCTATAGCTCAAAGAGTAAGGTGCTGGCCTCATACACAGGGGGTGGCAGTTCAAGCCCAGCCCGGGCAAAAAAAAAAAAAAAAGAATTTTAACTACGTTTACTCTGGTACTTAAAAGGGGAAACTAGGTCTAGAATCTTTACTTGCTAACCCCAACTCCACAAATTTTCTCCTCAGACTATACTGGTTAGAAATACAATAGTCATCTCCAACACCCTCTTCCCGTAGTTTCATTTACCTGCACTTGACCTGGAACTGAAAATATTCACAGTATTTTGAGAGAGTGCATTCACGTAACTTTTATTATAGTATGTTGTTATAACTGTTCTATTTCATTATTAGTTAGTGCTATTACTCTCTCTTACTTTGCATAATTTATAAACTTTATTATAGATATGTATGGACAGAAACAGACTGTGTGTGTGTGTGTGTGTGCATCATTATTATCAGTCATTTCAGAAATCCATGCAGGGTCTTGGAATGTATCTCCAACAGAAAAGGCAAGATCACTGTAAGTCATTAACTGAACATAATTTAAGTTTGCTTCAGAACACAGTTATTAAAACAAGATAAACGAAAAGAAAAAAAATCAGAATCTAAGATAAGTAGAAAAGTTTGAAGTCTCATTGTAACAGTAAACCTATCTATGATTAAAATCATTCACACTTTTAAGATACATATGACAACAGTCCCCCGATCAGACATTATTTAATATTCTGGAAGTAGTAATAAGCATAAACGAAGGTGCATGATTTCAATAAGAGATAATGTCAGCAGCAAAAAATGCCCACTGAGTGCTTACCAAAAAAAATGAAAACAGAAAAAAAATTAAAAACGTGTGCAAAACCCTGCCATCTATTAAAGCATAAAGTTAATGTTGCCAGATAAACTAATTACAATCTATATCTTTGTTTTTTAAAAGAACAGGGAAATGTTTGTTCTTTGGGGGAAAGTGGCTATGGAAAACTGAAATTAAACTTTAGTTCTCTAGAAATTTAATTACGTGACCCACTGATAAATTAGAGACAACTGATAGTAACGAATACACTTAAATCCTTGGGGAAGCAATCAGAAGTACAGATGCATTTATTTAACTGTGCTCACCACTTATAACAGTGAACTTTCTTCATGAGGTAAACTGATAAATCTGACTCAGAAGCTGTCTTCAAGATGCTTTTAGAAATTCTGCTTATCTTCACTGTTTCAGAGTATGAGCAGAAAATTGTGACCCATAATTCGTATTAAAGTTTTATTTAGAGTGATTATCTTTAACCTAATTTTGAATCAAAGAAAAAGAAAAAATTTCAGTAACAATACGGGTGTTCTGTTTGCAAACCAAATGCAGAGAAACTCCTTTTGGACAAAGTAAGCATGATCTGACGGTTGGTTGTTTTGCCTCTTATCTTCCTCCCGTGTCTTCTACTTTTTAGTACTGTGGGGATGGAGGAGGGTAAGAGCTCAGAGGATACTGTACAACAGACTCGTGAAGTGTGAATTTCTACCAAGAATCCAATAACCTCCATTAAAAATCATCTGGAAAAAAATTAAAACTCAGAAAAATGTGGAGTATGAAAACTACGAAAGTTTTCATAAAAAATACAACAGATTATAAATGTCTTTTCTAATCTGACTTTCTGCAGGAACCAGTGACATGTACTCTCAGTCTGAGTCAACGTATCTATAAAGATCTGCAGAAGTGAGATGGCATCTCACTGAGGCCCATGCCTGCAGCTGCAATCTTCCATAAAATCAACCTCAACCTAGCTGGGTTAAAGAAACAAAAGAACCTATCTGTCAAATTAACAAAAAATGGGAAGAACAACAACAGCAACAACAAAACACCCTATGTATCTCTACAAGGCATTTGATTCCAGCATTTTTATTATTTTTATTTACAAGAATCTTAGTAAAATGTATATGGTATAGGGAATGCATGGGTTTTAATACAGTCTGCATAAAGGGACCAGCATATTTACATAAGTTAGGCACTGGCACTTGGAAGGGCCTCCCTCACAAACTCTGTAGGGGCTCTGCAGGTGATGTCCCTTCTGGCACTTAGGAAATGTGACATTTTAAATGAATTTGAGTTATGAGCAACCAGCAGATTTTATTTTTTATTTTTTGATTTTTCTAAAGAACTTCTGCTAAGCCCTTTATTTAGCTTCAGTGTACTGAAACAAATGATTCTAAGAGGAAAAATCTGTAAAATATTTTTAATTGATATTTTTTAAGATCAAGTAACAGGATAGTCATATGAGATTTCTATGAAAACACAGTTTTGTGTTAGCAGAAGTTCCTGTGGTGTTAAATTATCTTACTCAAGTATGTATCTTTCCATGAGATATGTAACCAATTTCCCCACAATTTTATTGTTATAATTTTAACTAGAATGATGTGAACAGAAATGAAGAATAATTACGCACACCTAATGGCAGTTTTCATTGCATGAAGAGTGAAATTAGTAAGTGGGGCATTTAGAAGAGGAAGGCCGTGATACCTAAAATCAGGTAGCAGGCGGCCTGGAAGAGGAAAGTGGATTAAGTAGCTGACCAGGAAGCCTGAATAGATAAAGCAGGAATCTGAAAATTAAAACAGAACATTTGGTTGTAAGTCTAACAGTTTTTCTCATGTGTACATAACATGAAAAGTGTTATTTACTGGAAAAAGAGAAATGCAGTTCTAAACTTGAATGCAAATTTTCCTGAACTTCTCTGAGCCTGGTTCACTATGAAACAAGGGGTCTGGACAAAATGCACTCCGAGATCCCTTCCCTTTCTAACAGCTACAATTCAGTGTCTCTCTGTGCAACCCCGGCAAGCTAATATTCAGCAGGCTTTAATTAAACAGATATGAAAAGGACAAACATCACCTCCCTGTGCGTAAAAATTTTCATAAAAAATTTTAAAAGGTACAACCTTCTTTTTTTTGACATTTGAAACCGAAAATTATTTTTATTAAATCGCTGTTAAAAACTACAGGCAAAACTACAACTAAAGGAATTTGCCTGGCTTTTTAAAAAATAAAAATATTCTTCCTAAAAATGCTTCTTTTTGCCCTCTCTAACCTCAAAATTCCTTTATCCAATCATCTAAGAAAAGCTTCCTTCCAACTGTAATTGCCAACTGTAAGAATGCTGTGAACTGTTATTATATCTTTTATTTTTAAAGGAATGTGTTTTACATTTAAATTTAGAAATGATATATGTTTTGAAGTTACTCACTTAAAATGAAGATCTTTGAAAGTAAAGTGGGTTTCCACAATTCCCGTAGTTTTCACTCTAGTTCTGAGAACATCCTGCTGGGTTGGGATATAATTTGGTTGTGCTATTCTGTCCAAGTCATTTAAATAGCTGAAAAAAAAAAAAATAAGCAAAACAATACGCTAACATTAACACAGACAATAAAGATCATCTTAAATAGAGAGCAAAACACATTGCAATGCCTGCAAGATTTTAAAATCACTACAAGTTTTAAAATTTCAATGTAATGATATAAAACAACCAATTTATGCTTATATTTACGTAATTCCCACTGAAATAAAAGCATTTATACTTCTCTAGCCACTAAGCTCTTTTAAGATTTTTAAAATGTGTACTTTGTATCTTAATGACAGTGATTAGCAATTCAAAGAGAAAAACTTTTAAAAGACTCCCAAATTAATGTCCACTATGAGTTTGTTTCTTAAAATTCTGTATGACGCTTTTTAAAAACACTGCAATCCAGACATCAGTCTTTTGTTGAAGATTTTACAAAACTTAATTTTGAAGCAAGCAGTCAGGATCTCTTGGGCCAAGGCTGAGTGGGATGTTTCTTTTCCTCCAGCCTCACGCTGCCCAGGGGAAAGCACTGCACGTGCTCCCTCACTCCACATTTCACTCTCCCCAAATCTATACCCGTGTCACTCACGCATCGAATGCTCTCTGCCCATGATGCTGAATATGCAGTGATACGAAGACGTGGGGGGATCATACCATACAGTGTACGAGAGTAAATTATTTTGTGTCAAATTATATATGGTGGTCAATAACTCACAAAGGGTTCAAATAGAGAAGGGAATGTGGACCCAGGTGATTAAAAGGGTTCACTAATAGTGAACATGATTAATGGGAATGTCACTGACACCGGGAGAAGCTGCACGTCAGGAGGGAGGCAAAAACAGTCATGTTTTCCTTTCTCAGAAGGTAAGGCCACAAATAAGCTATGTAAAACCTTATTTTTACAAAGGGAGGAAGTCTGGAAGGCGTCCTCAGGTCAGCTGGATGTGTGGAACATCACCGTAGTAGTCTATAATTCTGAAGTAGTAACAGGACCAATAACTTAGAAACACACTTAGGTAAAGAGAGGTGCCAACAGCTACAACTTTAAATTGGAATTACCTTCTGAACCTATTTCTTAGCCAAGAACTTGGTCTTACAAACAAAAGGAGTTCAATTTATTTGATTTGTTGAGGATAGAGTTGCAAAATTATCCAAATACTTATGAATTACAACAACTATTTTCGGCAGTCGAATATATGAAGTGGTGTTGATATTATTATCCTGAGTCACCTGTATTTACTGAATTTAGGAGAATTTTATTGGTGATACTCTCCAGTACTTTACCTGTGCTTTTAATTCTACATACATAATATTTTACTGATACAGGACAGGTGGTGGTGCCCCAGCCACCTCAGCTGAGCTGGGCTGGAGGACCCGCCGCCTCAGCCTTGGTGGTGTTGGTGTCGTGGCAGCCGGCAAGGAACCAGTAGGCTGAAGCATAGGCAAGGGGGGGAGCCTCCATCCCCCACCGGAGGCTCCAGTAGCCAAAGGGATGGGACAACTGCTGGGGAGACACCGGCACCTTGGTGTCTCCTTCCCCTTTACATTTATGACTAAAAATGGAACCCCCATTTCCTATGCCCAGGTCAATTTTATGTAAGTTTCCTAGGCCTCAATTCTGTGAATGGACTGTGTCCATTCATTAGTACATTCATTCACCTTGCCCCAGCGGAAGGGACTGTGTCCATGCATTTCCTGGCCTCATAGAGAAGGAACTATATATACCACTAAATGGAGAGAAATGGAGAAGAGAGAAAAAGAGAGAGTTTTTCTCTCCTAACTTGGGTTTTCTCTCCCTACCATAAACTTTAGTGTTTTTGTATTCTTTTCTGTAAATAAATTCTGTCTTGCCACTGATCTGTGATCCGCAGATTTATTCTTCAAATCACCGAGACCAAGAACCTGAAAGTCTGGTATCAGATTTGGCGAGCCAGCCAGGAGACACAACGAAATGCTGGTATCATTACTGTAAAAAAATCTGATTTAATAAACTAATAAAACAAGCCAGGGCAGTATTTTACTGACTGTTCCTTTAAAATAGTGAGCAGCTCATTTAACTATAATGTGCTCTGGTTACATACAAATTCTTTTGCTTATAAATGCTGTAGTTCTAATAGTTTCTAAAAATAATATTTATGCTTCAGCAAGACAAAAAAAAAAAAAAAAGTACCGTGAAAAACCCAATCATTTTAAGTGAGCGCAGTCCTAGTGAGCAGCCTGGCAACACCCCACCACCTCCAGTCAAGAACTTAGACATCAAGATGCTCTCTGACCACTATGGAGAAAAAGGTTTCCATTGTTTCTTTCACTCTCAAAAAACGGCTACATTATTCCATTTTAAGGTCAGAATTACTAGCAATGAAATAATGGGAAGCCAAAACAACACTTCCCCCAATGCACGTCTAAGCAGCGTGCACAGGACAGAGGATCTTGGTCAAGAGACGGAGGGAGTCTAGAATTCCTCCCATACAGTAAGGCAGAAAACGTTGATCTGTTGTCACCAAGCAGAACGCCTAAATTACTGAAGTAGCTCCTTTTGCTGGGCTCAGCTCAGAATAATCTTCTCCCTGCAATAGTGTTTCCTATTTAAGTGTGTCTGCAGATGCTAGTGGCGCCAAAGCAAACATTACAGCTTAAGTGTTGTGCTCTTCCTCTAAGTAATTTTCCTGATTTGTCTTCTAAATTCAGTGAAGTGTTATTATTCATTCATTATTAAACAATATTATATTGAGGGTTCACTATGTGGGGATACACCATTAGGCTAAACCAGATGTCACTGGACTCACAGTGTGTGTAGTGGCAGAGACAGAAAATGATCAAAGAGTTAGAATGTAAATATCAATCAAATAACCTCAAAATGAACATAAATCTGAAGGAAAAATCCATCTGCATTATGAGTACCTAGACAGGGAAGAAAGGAACTACTCAGTGGGTCAAAGAGTATTTCCTTCTTGAAGTGATGGCATCAGTTGGAGAACGGACTATATATTCAATAAGCATAAGTTACATACATATACCTACACACACCACGTATGTAGTAATATACGTGGTTTACAATAAGTATAAAATGTACAGTAAGAAATACAGGTTTATAAAGATTGCTGTGGGTGGTACAATGATAACATACTACATATGCACTCACATTAAATCATGTATTACATAGTGCCTGCCCTGACACTCAGTAAGTCTTCGGTCCTTGGGAACCATACCCCGTTTGGGTTTTCACTGGGGCTAAGTGTATGCATTGACCTTTCCATACCTGTCATCTTCTATCTACTCTTTACTTGTGTTCCTAGGAGCCCAAAGCTCTGTCATGACCACTAAACAATCTTGGAAAAGAAAATGCATGCACAGCACGTTTTAAAGGCCAAACAACCCTACACACACCTGACAGAGTATGCACACCAAATCGTGGGAAGAAATATTTGATTTTTACAAATTCTATGTAGATCACCAAACAGAAAACTTCCTGAGCTTTTATACTTTAAAAAAGTCTATGTAGATTACCAAACAGAAAGCTTCTTGAGGTTTTATAACTTGCTTTACAAGCTTTCTAGGGCTATTGCCAGGAAAATAAAGGCAAATTTTTCTTCTAAAAACTCTACTTAAATACCTGTAAACAGTGTTTAATCCAACAGGGCACACACAATTGAGAATTTTCAAGTGTAAAATTGTCTTACTGATTGAGAAAACATCTTGGGATTGAAACACATCCCTTCAAGAAATCCCTACTCATTGAACAAGTAGTTCTCCTCAGGCAACACTAGTATAATAAAAAGAACTCTAATCACTTATTGTCTCATATGGCTAGCTCCAAGTAAACTAGAGATACACCTAAATTCGCAGTGAATTTTAGGAAATTCCAATTAGTTTCTTGGAAATGTACTGGAAACAGTCCCCTTCTGCTTGTTTCAACGAAAATTGCATAAGCACAAGTCTCTAGAGACACCGCTGAGCATGTAAGAAACAACAGCATTGCTATCTACAAACACACACACCAAAGAAAGTTTTCAAATACTGCCATCCTGAATATGCTCTTAGGAACGTGTCAGCCAAATGTGCAATAAAATTTTTGACTTGGAGGTATATTTGACTTGCAAGTAATTATTCGTGATAGTTTAGCTCTGAAGTTATGATTACTTACTAGGCTGCAGAATCGTTCAGCTGGTACTCTCGGGATCTGTTGAAACATGCTTGTACACCACTGTCATTCCACAACCTCTTTATCACACCAGCAAGTTCTGTAGTCATAAAGCCCTCCTCAGCGGCTCCAGCAAGCACAAAGAGCTGGCGAGCATCATCCTGAACATTCAAAGAACAGTTTTGGTTTTTTTTTTTTTTTTTTTTTAAATAAAAAGGCAGATAGCAGAGATAAAAAGTACAAAGGAAAACATAAATTTAAATAATGCTATAGTGAATTTTGTTCGTGTCATTACTAAAGTCTTGACTTTTCTTACTCTAAAGTACCACTTAAAATTGGCTTACCCCAAAGAGCATAATTATGAGTCATGAATCTGTGCTTGCTGCCATTGATAACACCTATCAAGGCATTGGGAAGTTGCAAGAATGGCTGAAGTTATAATTCACGACGAGAACATTCACCCAGTGTTCCCCGTCAGCTTGTTGTACTGAAGACGATCATATTTGAGAAAACAGAAGAAACTATGTCTTGCTTACTCCCTTCCCAAAAGGCTTCTAATCTAAAAACACATCACACCTCTAGAAATGACACGAATATAAATGCTAGCTTTCTCATGTACCTTATAGATGTAAAACCAGTTCAGAAAAGAAAGAAGTCAATGTGGAGGAAGCAAGGCTAGTATGTGAGTATCACAAAGTAGTCTAAGGTTTTTAAGAGACCTTAAAGTTTAATGCAAACGTTAAACTCCACGGGATAAGAGCAGAGAGGAAGTTTGCTGATCCAGAAATAGAAAACAAGCACATCTTTGGAGTAGAAATACTCATGATAAACAGAAAACAGCATACAAAAGTTTCTAAATGAAGAAATACTGTATAAAAGTTAAATTTTGAGGCTACTAATATTCATAGTTGTTCTGATGGACAAATAGTCACTCTAGATCAGTGCTAGTCAAAAATATAATTATGAACCACTAATGCAATCAAAATTATCTAATATTTAAAAAAATAAGAAAAAAAAAAGCCGGGGACGTGGGGGAAGTACTTTTATCAGCATACTTTACTTAACCTATATACAAATAATTGAAACACATAATCAATATAAAACTATTTTGAAATAGTTCATATTCTTCTTTAATACGTATTTGAAATCTGTTGTGGATCTGATACACTATGTTGCACCTCTCCATCAGACTAGACACATTTTAAGTACTCCACAGCCACATGTGGGTAGCAGCTACTACACCAGGTAACAACTAGTCTACAGGTAATAACATGGCTAGTCCAAGTTGTCAGCTTCACAGAGTTCTCTTTAGCCTGAGAGATGTAGCTTTCTGCTAATGCAGTGAGTGGCTGGTGCCTAACTTTTCTCTTGTAGCAGATGCTTCCGAGGGGATGGCACACGTTATGGGAAGGTGCACAGAAGTGAAGCAGCGTGGAGTGCCACAGGCGAGCACAGTGTACTAGCTGACAGCATAAATTCATCCTGTTGCCAATTTGCGAGAAATTTTCTCTTCAGCTGGAACCCATCATGGAAAATAATTAAGTCTCTCAGCATGAGAACATATTATTCAAGCATATGTTTCCCTTTTTAGTAAATCACAAGAGAAAGGCATGCAAGCAGGCAACTCACGCACAATATCCTCTATAAACCCCCAGAACACACTTCCGAGCCATTCTTGGCACCATTAACCTAATTCCAGCAAACAAATATTCAATTTTCCAAACAACTATCTATACACAATTTCTGAAGGGGTCCATGTTTATTTATCAAACTACATCAAATATAATTTCTCTATTTTAGAAAAGTACCTTCCATCTAAGTTTATAATAGGCTTTCTTCATAGTATCTTCATTCAATTTCTAAAGTTTCGACACTAAAGACTAAGGTCCTACTGCATGGGTCATAAAATCACATTCTCCTTAAACTTTCAGGAAGAGACCTAAAGACGTAAGAAACTGTGGAAGCTATATTTGTCAGTTTCACCCTCTCCGTGGCATTCAAAAATGTCTCTTCTTTTTTTAAATTCCACATATAAATGAGATCATACAATATTTTTCTTTCTACATCCGGGTTGTTTCACTTCGTATAATGGCTTTTGGTGCCCCCCCACCTCCAAAAAAAGAAGGGAAATCAAATACTCAGAGACAAAGAATGAGACAGTAGTCAGCAGAGGCAGGTGTGTGGAACATACAGGCAGAAGTAGTTCAAAGGATAGAATGAACATATAGAAGAGAGCAAATGGATAATGTAAGGGCCATCGTATATAAAATTGAATAGGTATTTCTGTTATGTGAGTGCAGTTTCGCTGCTCTTGGCACAAAAGTTTGTGAGATGATGGATATGTTCATTTCCTTCCCCTCAGTAAATCCTTTACTATCTATATGTATTTCAGTATCAAGCTGTGAACCACAAATAAAATTTACTTCTTTTAGAGGTCCTCCTTCACAAAATATAAAATAGCCTACTTTCCTTGAAAACTAATTGGAGTATTCACCTCCACGTCATCAGCAGAACCTTCAGGTGTCTGTAGATGAGCTTTCAGAAAATAAATTTGAGCAGTAAGGCACTGTAGAAATTATCCTGCCTAATATTTTATTTAGTATAAAAAGGCACAGAGTGGTGAAGAAATTTATTTAAAGTTCAATGGTGAATTAACCACCCAATCATATAAATTAGTATGGAGCCACTGTCTAACACGGGAAAAAAATTAAAAATTGCAAAACAAAGACAATGATCATATCTTGCCATGGAACGAGATAAGACTGGAGCTTGGTCAGGAGGGCTACCAGTTAAAAAAAGAAACTCTTTTATGGTGTTAAAAAGAAAGAAATGTTATTTGCCAGGCAATTATGTGAGAGTAGCAAGGAAAAATTCTTGGATGTAACTAAGGTAAATATTTTCAAATTACTAATAACTAAAAGAAAATATGATTCAGATAACATAAATTTCAGTTCACAGAAAGGAGCTATGAAATGCCATTTTGTCAAGGGACAAATAATAGGTCCTCCTTCCCAGTGATGGTCAGACAACAGCTGGAATAGTGTTCTTATTTAATGACTGTACATTTTATTTAAAGCTGTCACCAACTTTATAAGCATTCAGAAGAGTCTTCCCAGGATGGGAAGGAGAAGACTTCGAGGGATCCTAATGGCTGTCCTCTCACATATTAAGAATCACAAATGGCAAGAAAGAATGTTGGCTGCAGAGCAGAAAAAGGAACAGTCTTAGAGCAGAAGATACCCAATTTCAATTCAGTAAGAGGAACGCTTTTTGACAATCAAAGCCATCTAAAAAACAAAAAAGGGAAGGAGAGTGAGAGATTCAGGTTTTTTTAGCAAAGGCTTGATGACCTGGTATACAACAGACAAGATTTATAAATGAAATTAAGACTTGAAATGAAAAATATCCAAAAGCCTTTCTAAAATAAAAACTAAATAATATAATAAAGGAGTTTTCAAAACAATACCTTTGAAACTTTGTCCATTGGGATAATAATGTCATGAGTAATGTACAAATGGAATCTCATTTCAATACAGTGTGATTATTTCATTAAAAACATAGCCCATTCACATATTTAATCTACTACCCTTTTCACAACATGCATTAGCACTCTTGTAAGTCTAAGACGGCCTACAGTGCTCTTACAAAAGTAAGCATACCCTTAAGGAAATTCCTAAGAACTTTACTAAATCCATCACTCCATGGCTCATTGTGCCAATATCAGACATTGAAAAGTTGTTTTAAAAATATGTAAATATAAAACACATTTTCTCTAAAAACACAAATGTAATGCAACTAAAAATGACTTGAAGCAAAGAAATAGGAAGCCACTGTCATTTTTTCTGGACAACTGCTCAAAAGGAGGAGAAACTTAAAAATAATTAAAGGCTTAATTTTAACTAAATTATAGAAAGCACAATTTTTAAATAAACTGTAGTACATTTACCATGAAGCATGAGTTGCACTCAAGGGTAATTACTGATGAATGTATTGCACATCTATGTATACATTTATTTATATTTTTAGATTTTAAAGGTATAAACTTTTTTTTAATTAAGTCATAGCTATCTACATTAATACTACCATGGGGTACAAGAGAAATATTAATTTTTAAATGCTGTTTATATCAACAATAGAATCTACTGTCAAAAGCGACATGGAAATATATGATAATTAACAAGTGAGCCGAGGAAGGTAGATGTGAACTATGCTAGAAGCACATATAAATTTGAAGTGATAGCTAATACCATTTTGCCACACACATACCTCAGTATTTCTCAGAATTAAAATAATAAAAAAACTTTCAGGCTTGACACCTATAGCACAGAGGTTATGGTGCCAGCCACAAACACCGAGACTGGCGGGTTCCAACCCAGCCTGGGCCAGCAAAACAACAATGACAACTGCAACAACAACAGAAAAATAGCCGGGCATTGTGGTGAGCATCTGTAGCCCCTCAGCTACTTGGGAGGCTGAGGCAAGAGAATTGCTTGAGCCCAGGAGTTTGTGGTTGCTGTGAGCTGTGACACCACAGCTCTACCAAGGACGACATAGTGAAAATGTGTCTCAGAAAGAAAATTTTTCATTTTAGTTCTCATACATAAACCAGAACATTATTAAAAATGATTCAAGCATTTACCTAGAAAAAAACAAGTAAAAATAACCAGCAACATTTTTAAAAAGACTGGAGAAAAAGACTGATCTTACCCGATATTAAAAGCCCACAATATGTAGAACAGTCTGATATTTATGTTGTTCAATAGGAGAAAAAAATGTCAAATCTAAACGTCTATGACAAATGTAGGCAACACAAGTCAGTAAGAAAGGATGCAAAAATTTAAAAAACACAAACACCTCCTGGGTGAAGGGCTCAACTGCAACCCGGACTTTACCTAACAAACGCCAACAATGTAGCACAATTGTATGTGCCCTTATATTAATCTGAAAATTAAAAAAAAATTAAAAAAACACAGATCCGGGGGCACCTGTGGCTCAAAGGAGTAGGGTGCTGGCCCATATACCAGAGCTGGTGGGTTCAAACCCAGCCCGGCCAAAAACTGCAAAAAAAAAAATAAACCATGGATTAATAATGAGATGTCCACCTAAAAGAGAATAGAATAATGTAGATTTTTATTCAATGCATACAACAAAACAAGTTTCA